ATTGACAGGCGGATTGGTGCAGCTTCTGCAGTAATGTGGTCAATGTACCGGTCCGTCATGGTGAAGAAGGAGCTGAGCTGTAAGGCGAAGCTCTCGATTTACTGGTTGATCTACATTCCGACTCTCACCTATGGTCATGAGCTTTGGGTCATGACCGAAAGGGCAAGATCGCGGATACAGGCGGCCAAAATGAGCTTCCTCCACACACTTAGAGATAGGGTGAGAAGCTCGGTTACCTGGGAGGAGCTCAGAGCAGAACTGCTGCTTCTCCACATCGAGAGGGGCCAGCTGGGGTGGCTCGGGCATCTGTTTCGGATGCCTCCTCGGTGCCTTCCTAGGGAGGTGTTCCGGGCATGTCCCACCGGGAGAAGGCCCCAGGGAAGACCCAGGACATGCTGGAGGGACTATGTCTCTTGGCTGGCCTGGGAACGCCTCGGAATTCCCCTGGAGGAGTTGGAGGAAGTGTCTGGAGAGGGAAGTCTAGGCATCTTTGCTTAGACTGCTGCCCGCGCGACCCGGTTCTGGATAAGCGGAGGAAAATGGATGGATGGATGGAAAATATAGCTGTGTATTGTCCACATATCAGTAGTAAAGGTTGCATTTTCTAAAAACCAGGCTGCAATGGCATCATATAGAATGAAATGAGTAAAGGGCCTTAAGATGGTACACACAAGAAACAGTAGCAGAGCTCAGAGAAACCATCTATTTTAAGTATGTTGAAAATATGACAAACCAGTCAAGTGCCTTGAATGCCTACAACATTTTTGAGATGTTCCAAGAGTGTGTGCCTGTCAACAGTGTCAAATCCTGCAGAGAGGTCCAACAAAATTCAAATGGCATGGTTTCCAGAGTTTAATTACAGTAGTAAGGTATTTGTTTTGTCAGCAAAGCTGTAAAAACGAGTCCTGGGGAGAGCCTGGAAGAAGTCAAAGAAGGTGGTGATGAAGGATCAGAGGTCACTGAGTCAGCACTGGCCTTCAAAGACCCGGTGGCTGAATTAGCCCTACAGGAAGAGTTGCAGGAAGCCATAAGACAGATTATTTCTTTGCAAATAGAAGTCCCAAAGAAACAATAAGAGTACCTTTAGGAGATATTGGAATGGCCATTATTCAAGAAAGCAGAGCCTGAGGAAACAATAAAAAGTTGGGAAAGAGATGGAAGTGTGACTTGATCTAAAAGAAAATGTACCTATGACAGAAAGTATAATGGTGCAGAAACAAGACGTGGAAGAGTTGATGGTAAATTTGTATTTGCCCTGTCATGCCCAAACCAATGGCAGAGGGATTAGCAGACCTCTGGGAAGGAGAAAAGGAAGAAATGGAGGAGAATGAAGAACATGTGGTAGTGGATGAGTTGGTGGATGAGCCAGACCCCGAGGAGGAAGAGGAAAACAGCAAGAGGGAATGGAAAAGGGAGAAAAATGATTAAGATATAATAGCTCAGGGTATAAAGTAGGAAGTTGAAATAATCAGTGAGTAAGGATGATTATAGACAAGATGTGTGTAGTATGTTTTGTTTACTGAGTAGTAATGTTTGAGAATGAAGTTAAACATAAGAGTGATTTTATTGATAAAACAAATGTAAAAATGGTTTTGTATTTAAAATGAAATGTTTAAGTGAGCCGAGAAGTTGACAAAAGAGAGAAATGGGGAAAAATAACACTGAGTCATGGTAACAGTTGGTGGTTGTAGACACCACCTGGGTGTGGACCAAAAGTGACCCAAGAGATACAACTGTTCCAACTGACAGCTGTCCAAGGTAGTGACAAAAGGAGAAGTCTGACTGGAGATGAGAAGGAAGCTTAACTCACAGAAACCCTTTAAAACCCACAACAAAAAGAGGAACAAAGGACTTTTCAGCAGTTGCTGCAGGAGGCTCTGTCTGGATATTTTTCTGAGTTCCAGAAGACAGAACAAAGAAAGCATAGAGAATCAGGCTGAGAAGACACATTGGTATATTTGCCTGGTAACCAGTGAAGACACAGGGACTGAAGCCTCTCCCCTGCAGGCCAACCTAGTCTGCAGGGGAGAGGCAGAAAGAAAGGAAGAGAAGATATAGAGCCGTTACCAAGAGCAGGATGCAACAAGGATGCCTGAATTGTTCAGTAAAATTCCATACTTCAGCAAGAAGTGCATGAGTCCCTGCCTTGAGGGAACCGGTGTTGGAATTGTGAATTTCAACAAAACTCAACAACTACCAACTTGAACCAAAAAATGACTGATTCTTTGATTTTTATTCAGTAATGTGAGAGCTCAACTGTAATAATTGTAATTAGAGTAGTGAGCTTAAATTCATGATTAAAAATAGCTTTTGTTGATTTGTAGTGAATCAAACAATTTATTGTTGATGATGTTGATATTTTGCTTTATTGCTTGCTGCTTAATAAACTTTTAAACTCTATCTTTATTGAGTTGTCTTGTGTTAGACACTGTATTAGGGGACGTTTAAAAGTGCATATGATAGTTATTTCACAAAACAAAATACAATTAGTTTAAATGTGGACATAGTGATGACTAATTGTTAAAACCAAATTGTTGACAAAATTTAAAAAAAAGGATAAATTAGTCAATTATCTATTTATTCCAACTTATATATCATAAACTGGGTGTCCAATCCTAGAAAGTTAAATAATGTCAGCTAAAACTGTACCCCAAAATCATGCTCATACAGCTTTTATGGGTTATTTCAGACCAAACTTAACACTTCCTCAAAGAGCCACAGTATACTGGCTCCTAAAGTTTTCTTAGTAGAAGTAACATCTGAAGGTATAACTGCAGATTGTTATTCTTTTTGGGAGGATTTAGGGTCTGGTCCTGAATTAATAACATGAAAGAGAGAGGTCTGCAGGGAACTCTGTTCGCAGGTTCATGGTAGTCAATTACTGAGCCAGTATCTCCACCTGTGTTTGAAGCTTTAATAGGTTTCAAATATCCCACCTTAGTGTGAGAGGTTAAGCCTATGTTCCTATGTCCAGGGGTTAGCAAATTGTGGCCTTTTAACAGCACTGACTCAGTACTGGTCCCACAAACAAATGAAGGGCTTGTTACCTGACAGCGCTGCTGCTGGCATCCAGGTCATAAGCTGTCACTGAGCCGATGATGGTTCCCGGTGGAGTGTCCTCGTACACGTCCAGAGAGTAGGAGGGCTTGGTGAAGACAGGAGGCTCCTCCACATCCAGGATGTTCACCTTGACTGTTGCCAAGTCCTTGAAGGGCCCCAGGTGGAGGAAACGGGGATCCAGCTGAGCATTGGATGCCTCAACCTTGAAAGTGTATGACTTTTTGGTTTCATAGTCAAGAGTCTGCAAAAACAAGGGGGTGAAAGCAATGGAGACTTATGAAGAGATGGAAAAAGAACATAATCATAATGTTTCAAACTGGCATTTTAATATCTGTGAATGCTTGTAAAAAACCTTTACATTTTTTAATCTGATGCTACTATATTTTTCATTTTGTCATTTAAGTCATTTGCTTCATGAGTGTTATAATTAGTTTGTTATATCTGATTTCATTGCACTTTGTCGCATTTTTATTTTATTGATACACCAAGTTTTCCACCTCAGACAAGCCAAAAAATTTGTTTTGTAATATTTCAAGATTTTTTTTTTAATTTCCATCATTTCTAGTGAGGGCTGGTATGCACAAACTGTAAGTGCCTGTAAAACCTGGTGGATGAAAACCCACATATGGTTGTTGCATAGCAACTACTGTGTGACATATTAATTTCTTGAAGTAGAGACTTCAAAGACATTATATTGATGTATTATTGATACCCAATTGCTCTGAAGGAAAAACCAGTGACTGATTGCTTAGGACTCACAGGAGGGTAGATTTCCAATCTCTCTCACTCTTATCTGTTTGTTAATGCATGGGAGGAAGATACAGGAGACAGTTACTTTGATATGGAAATTTAGCCACAAAATTTATCAAGAGACATACATGAACATATCAAACATCATTTGTCTCATGATGCAGAAGCCAATTCACATTACTGAGCATGACTGGTGCTCTGTACTGTATATCAGAATAAAACCATGTGGATGTTTTGTCCCTACTGGAAGTCATCCCACTTCAAGTGGAAGAGCTGACTTGAAGACAAGTGTCTGGCCCCTGGATTGCAATGAATGCTGCCAAGGAGGCTTTTGAAAGCCATATAGAAAATCATCTTTACACACACAGACACACACAGGCCAAAACACATGCACGCATAATTTCCAGCCTACAGAAACACAAATATGGCTCTACCTTTCATTCACTCACTGGGAAAGAAACATATTGTCGTTTCCCATAAGGACCCCCTGTCATTTGATCTAATGACAGAACATTAAAAGCACTGGGCTGTCCTCATATGTACCTTATTCTTTTTCCCCATTTCCTTTACTGAGAATGTTCTCAAAACTAGGGTTAACATCATTTTGCCTTGTCAGAAATAGAGAGCACTAAAAGCATCCAAAGGACTAAAATTTGACACAGATGTGGCTTTCTTCCTGCTAGACACACAAGTACTGTAGCTGGCTAACATGTATATGTAGCATTATTAACAAGCTAACATTAGCATTTCAATTTTGTATTGATTATTGATTATTATTGGTTGTAATTTGCAGTCATTCTAACTGACTGCAACATTAGTGTTTTGTTGTGAAATTAATTGAAACCAGTGCATTATCCAGCATTAGCAATTGAAGTAATTTTGCCAATTTTTGCTTGGTTTTGGTTCAGTTTATGTCAGACATAACACTGCAGTCCATGCAGAATTTTTGTGAGAAGTTGTTAAAATTTAAACCATCAACACAACTAGAAAAGTCGCAAGTTTGTTCAACTACCAAAGTGCAACGTGAAATTTCTCGTTTCCCATACAACTCATGGTTATCTTATAACGTTATGTGTGTCAAGTATGTAACACTGAATGTGATGCGATAGTGGCCGAACATTTGTACTGTAACAATACTACTGGGGAAAAAACATTTCTCTGTATAATTTGCTTGTATTACTGCAAATACATCACTACAAGCAGTGTTAGACATACATACATATGCATATTGCTAAACTGCTAGAACCAGTTGTAGCCTGACTGCTACAACTGTCTCCAGCTGTCATGACCACATACGACTTTCACAGACAGGGCAGGAAGAGCAAAGAGGAACAGAGGGAGAAGAGGAGGGGATACTGCTAAAGTTTGTTTTGACTCTCACTTTGCCCTTAAAGGTCAAAAATTAATGGGAGATGTTAGTTAATGCAGCTTCATCAGTTCTGGACAGAAATGATTAAGCCTCTTGGATGAGAGGTGAAACGTCTTCGATCTAGAAATCTAAGTCCAGTTGATTTTTCTAAGGTTATTTCATTTTACTATGACCTGGATGACTGAGACAATATGCTAATAATTCGGCCACTTTAAATACCATAGACATGTTGACACTATGTACAGACAGTCAGGGTGTGTGCAGCCTTATACAGTATCTGTAAGTGCAAAATGCCATCATCCACAAAGCACATTTGATGCATTTGATGACCTGTTTGTCAGGCACCAAGTTAAAGGTGCTGCAAAATGACCACTGAGTAGTTGAAACCTACTTTATAGGAGATTGTTAGACAACAACAATAAAGTTAAATGTACTGTGGGAAGCTGTAGGATCTTTTTTTTGTTTTTTTTGTATTTATCCATGCTGTAAATGGTTACATAAATTGCTCTTTTCTTGTATTTTTGTCAGAGCAGCTGCTCAAGGCTGAGCTCAACCAGAGCTGAAACCTGAAGCATTATACAGTAACTTTAAAAGTTATGGTTAAAGGATAAAGGTGATGCTAATACTTTTGTACTGTTACGTTTGTACTTGGCTAACATTTTGAATGTAACAAAGTACTTTTACACTACTGTATAATTACTTTTATTTAAGCAAAGGATCTGAGTATTTTTCCCACCACTGCTCAATTCTCCATCAACTAGAACAAGGATCACGCACCAAGGAACAATCATATAAGAGACTTGGGATGTACCCCATGTTTACATGATATTACTCTTTTTCTTCTCTGACTTTTTGTGCATTGCTGCATTTATTTGTGGATTACTGCCTTCTGTTGTTCAGATCACTGTGAATATTGCAAAACCTTTGCTAAGAATGGCCCACATGCAAGTGTTTGTTGTGCACATGAACAAACAAAACAAGGACCTATACATAAACACCTTTCTCTATTGATCCACTAGTGATCACAAACTCTACAGGCCACATTTAAACTTCCAGTTGGAAAAAAGCATTAGCATGTGCTATAAGTAATGTACAGGACCTCTGAACATTTTCTGGATTGATTAACCACACTGTAAATGCATCATATTTCAACACATCAGTCTTTCCAGTGACTCATGGTTTCCCAACTTAAAGGTTGTGAGAGTGTGACAAAGGTAAATGATGAGGGTAAGAATGAGGTGAATATCCTTTAGTGAAGTCTGGAACTTGTTCATTAAGGTCATTTAAGTACACCATGTCAGTTGATTCATTGTGTGAAAGAGACAATACAAATGACAACACAAATTAACAGACAGAAAAGTCTCAGCATTATGCATTTTCGTATAGCTTCTGTTTTGCTTCTGGTGCTTCTGCCTGGGGCCAGACAATACAGCTATGTCATCATTGAACACTTTTACTGCATGAAGTTTTAGCTTTGTTGAAAACAAAATAAGAGTGTAGCCTCCCTGATGATAACCTCCAAAGTCAGAAGGTATAAAATCATGAATATTTCCCTAATGTCTGATCCCTTAAAAATGTGAAATTCCCAAGGGGTCCTGAAAATGTATACAGTATATCTCCTTTGTGGACTAAAATGAGCACTGCAATTTTCATTATACTTTATTTAATACAAGTCTTGTTAGAAACGCTCGACACATAGATGAGCGAGCGGAGAAAACAACAGACCCAGGCGGCTGGCTTCGGTCCAAGCAGTGGGATTTATTTACAGTGCCAACAGGGCGAAAATATTTACAAGAATTGTAGAGTGGAGAAAAGACCGGGTGTGGATCAGCGGTGGCAGGAGTAGCAGTCAATGGAGTGATGATGGGCCGGGCTGTATTGGAGTCACTCCTGGACTGGTCGGGTTGGAGATGAGGATGGCTGAGGAGGGAATATCAGAGAGACAGATTACTGGAGACTGTGCATCGACCAGTGAAGGCGGTGGCTGGTGGAGCTGAGGGTAACCAGGGTCCAGAGAAGAGGTCCGATGCGGAGGGAAACCAGATACGGTGGGGCACGACAGGAACTCGGGTAATTAAGCGCAGAAGAGAACAGAGAATAAAAAGCATACTAGGCACAAAGGCAAACAAAAACGGTAACATACATGGGGAGGCCTGAAGACAGCGAAAGAACTAGCAAGGGAGTGATCGGTGAGCAGCGTATAAATAAGGAGGGAGACTAACGAGGCGCAGCTGGTGAGAATCAGTGAATCGAGGCAGGTGTGTCTAATTGTGCAATCAGTGCAAGGGAGCTGGCTAGTGCGAGGAAAAGAAGTGAGGCAGGTGCCACCGGGCAAACCTGACAAGTCTGATTTATTACATTTTTGACACTGTTAAGTCAGCTAAGATCGGTACAGTGAGCGAATGCTTTAAACAGTGTTTGTAATTGTATAGTAATGATATTTTCCAACCTTTTCAAGTGACAAGTGTCCAACTGGTCATATGTCCCTCTGAAATGCGGCAGTGGCATAATGTTGCAGGAAATTTAAATATTTCAGCAGTTTAAATCCCAGACACGCCCAGACCGCAGCCATTCTGAGTTTGAATTCAGAAAGTAGAAAGTGTGAAAATGTTTCCATTGTCCCTTAATTTCATGAAATAGCCAGGTGAATGACCCACAGCTAAGAATGACATAGGGTATTCTGAATCCTATACTGTCTCTTTAAAAACTGAGACCTAAAATATAACTGGGCAGAAACTGTGCTTTTTAAAAATCTTGTACATTGTATTATTCCATGCTATATGTTTTGATTGTCCTTCATAGCTAACTGTGCTCTCTTTGTGCTGATTGACTGGCTACAAGGTGGAGCTCACACTGAATGTAAACCTGGACCATCTAGTGGGTTTTCTCCATAGATCATTCCAATAAAGAGAAAGCGCGTGGCAGCAGTGGTGCAATTCTACTATGAATGGAAAGTTATAAAGAGGAGATGTGGTCACAGTGCTTCTGCAGGCAAGATCGGGTTTATATCACGGCACAGTCTCAAGTCAAAACTTGGCTTTTAGCCACCGCATGCAAAATTTTATTACAGTAATTGTAAAACAAGCTCACTACAGTTTATAATCTTGTGACAGTAACAGTGT